TTCTTTTTCTTAAGGTGTTTTTTTTTTTTTTGGACTGTTTTTTTTTTTTTTTTTCGCCCTCTCGCACCGATTTTGGGGTACCCAGAGGATGTCATCCATAAAAATAAAAAAGTGTGGCCTAATAGGCTGTTATTTGATAGAACTTAGAGAAAAGCTGAAGAAAAACATGTGGTCTGGATAAATTGTAGGCTTTCATACATGTTGCACCACACTGACTATTCTGCAATTGTTTCTGACCTTGGCTTACCTACAAATATAATTGCATTAAAAATGAGACTTTGGGCTGTCTCAGATGATCTCCTTTAACAGCTGTAACGCATTAATCCTGTGTGTGTGTGTGTGTGTGTTTTTTGTTTTTTTTTTTTTGGGGGGGGGGAGTTAATTCTTTCTTTCATAAATCTTTTTTAACAGTGCCCACTATCCAAAATTCCATCCGTTGTATTATTTTTTAAGATGCATTTAATAAATTGTTAATGGAATCTTAATCTACCCTGTAATCTCTTGGTTTCAGTAGTTCTCTTTTCACTGGTTTGTCATCTTTTTCCGAAGGTTCTCCCAACTCCTCCTCCAGTCGCTCCCTGGCAAGGCGCTCAAACTCATCCTTGTCCCACTTCCGCCTGTGATCATCTGGTTTCTAATAAATCATGTAAAAATCCGTGTTGACTAAAATCCAGTTTCAGAAATTAAAAGTACCAGTACTGGCTACAATAGTCGTATTAAGCAGTAATAATACGATTATCACTCAAGTCTTTCTTCGGAATTAAGGCGAACGTGTATGTCTTTGTTACCATTACGTTTATGTTTATCCACCACTAAATGATAATCAAAATGTAATTCGTTCAAATTTTGCGACAATTAACAAAGCCTTCGAAGAATCTCATTTAAAACTACTTATTTAAGAGGCGAATAAGAAAGACAACAAAACCTCACCGTCGCTTCCATTGTTCCGGAAGTGCACAAAATGTTCCATGGCGCATGACGGAAGTGGACTATACTCTGAGCTCGAAATACGGACGACGTGGCATTACTTTCAATAACGTGTAAATATAGCGTTTAAGGTAAGTGATCAACCTGCTTTACTTAATTCTGATATCAGATGAATACTAAGTTACAGAATAACCTTTCTAGGGTAGTGCAATGGCTGCAAAAAATGGGAAAAATCTCCAGTAAAACTCGTGTTCATGGATTTAACTAGTAGTACTGTAGGGCACCTGTCTGACTTAGCATCAAGTTACAGACTGCTCAATAATGTATTGTGTTAGCACATAATCAATGATATTAACCTTAAACCTGCTACTAGCAACTCGACTGAGTAGTTGAAGTCATGATCACGTCTTTATAAAAATGAAGATAACCTAGAAAAGTTAATATTAAGCTGCAACAGTTGAAGTATATTAATTTATTATAATCATTGAAATGCAAAAAATATAAAGTTATTTGTTTGCGTATACGTATGCAGCATTTATCAAATTATCAGCTTCATGTTATGTACTTTGTAAAGTAACTGCTTAGATAAGGTTAAGTCCACAAAACTTAATAGCTGAGTCAAATGTTATTTTAAGTTCAGATGCTCTTTTTGTGTTTGATCAATATGTTTATGAAAAATAGTGCTAGCATTTTATTATTTTGGAACATTGATCTTGCTATCAATTAAACAGTTACAAACATGTCATTTAACAGATTAGCATACTGGCTTTCGACCTTAGAATATTAAAAAGTATAAAGATAAAGTAAAGTAGAAATAACCAAAGGTGCTAAAGATGGAGTCAGACTACTTGTATGTGTTTTTAATGTGCATTAAATTATTGATACAAAAAAGGAACAAAATAACATAATATTTCATGTATGGTCATACTCATAAAACAAACATCTTATATTTGCTGATAATACTATATACTAGTATGTTAGTCATTCAGTTGTACATTACATAAAATAAACTAAAAATCTGGACGTACAAATTTTACGACTTTTGTCAAGTGGACAAACTTTTAAAGCCAGTATAGATTTAAATAGTTTATTTTTCTATTTGTTGAACTTATTCAAACAAATTGAAAGTTTGTGAAATAAGTGTTTGATAAGCAGAACAAAGATGGGTGACAAATCTTGATGTCAGCAATGAGAATCCTGACAACACTGAATCAGTGCACACATTGACCCTTTTCTAAACAATACATTTTACTCTACTTCATTATAGATATAATTCCACTAAATATGGTTTAGGAAATCTTGCCTGCATGACAAGTTTGGAGTTTGGTCTTCAAATAGAATAATTGTGTATGTTTAAAAATGCCATTTTTGAATTGTATTAGGCAATAATTGTGTGGCTAGTAGTGAGTATATCAGTTCCTCTCACCAGTAGTACATTGCTTAAAAATAATTTGTAATTTGAAATCAGCAGTGGATGTGTAGGTTTCCAAGTTTCCCTCTTAAATAAAAATATGAAAGGGATTTGCTGTAATTTTTCTGTTGAATTCTGATAAATGACATCAGAACTACCCTTGGATCTTAAACAAAGCATTTTTGTACAAATATAAAAATAAATGTTCAACTAAATAGATTTTCAACTTCAGATATTAAGTCTCTTTGAAATCACAAAATCAATTTTATGCAGTAATGAATCCCTTTCATTTGGTGTCTTTGCAGGTGAGGGGAGGTTTGTTATGCTCAGCTAGCCACACACAGAGTCTTCAATACCATACAGCACCATGTTACGTCTAAATGTAGCCAAACGCAAACAGGCAATTAATGTTGTCAAAGAGTTGGACGCCTTTCCAAAGGTCCCGGAGGATTATGTAGAAAAATCCTCAACTGGAGGGGGAATATCCGTCATAACGTTTGCCTTCATTCTTGTCCTGATTATATCTGAGATTCGCTACTACAGTAGCTCCGACCTGAGATTCTCGTATGAAGTTGATACTGAATTTGACAAAAAACTACAGCTGAATATTGATATGACTGTTGCCATGAGGTGCAGTGCAATAGGAGCAGATATAGTCGACCAAACTGGACAGAATATTGACAGTTTTGGGTCTTTAGAAGAAGAAGATGTGCATTTTGAGCTTTCCCCCGATCAAAGAACCTATCAAGAAATGCTGCAGCATGTTAACAGCTATATGAGAGATGAGTACCATGCCATTCAGGATTTCATATGGAAGACTGGTTATAGTGGAATAGGAGAGAAACCTATTAGGGAAGTTGCCCCGTCTGGGCCTAGAGACTCCTGTAGACTCCATGGCTCATTTATTCTGAATAAAGTAGCTGGGAACTTCCATGTGACTGTTGGACGGTCAGTTCCAGTTATTCCAAGAGGCCACGCCCATTTAGCAATAATGGTGGAACCCTCTGAATATAATTTCACACACAGAATTGATACATTCTCCTTTGGGACACCAACCCCAGGGGTAATAAACCCTCTGGATGGAGATGAAATTGTCACCACTGATAACAGACATGTTTTTCAGTATTATATTAAGGTTGTGCCCACCACAGTACAGACTCTGCAGTCAAATATTGACACATATCAGTATGCTGTGACAATGAGAAATAGGACAATAAACCACTCAGCAGGGAGTCACGGAACCCCTGGTATTTTTGTGAAGTACGATATGTCTCCAATCAAGGTGAAGGTCACAGAAGAGAGGCGACCAATCTGGGAGTTTCTTGTTCGACTCTGCGCCATTGTTGGTGGGATATTTGCAACGTCTGGAATCATTCACAATGTCTCAGGATTTCTTGTAGATTTGATATGTTGTAGATATAAAATTGGAAAATACACTCCTGTTAAAAGATCTTTTGATAGTGCTCCACAGCAGAGTGTTCCATCTTGCAATCTGAGTACTGATGATCTAACAAACTCTGTTCCTCAAGTGTCTCTTGTGCCAGGTGGACAAGAAACATGACTTGTTGATGAAAACTTTAATTCACGATCTTGGAAATTAAAGCATGTTACTTTAAAGATTGTCACAGTAGTAAGATTTAAATTTTAGAATATCCAAAGAAACAGTAAGACTGGTTGGCAGATCATGCTTACGTTTTTTTACTTCAATGTTGGATGATTAGTTACTGAATTCTTTAATAAATGATATTAGTTGCCATTAAGTCTGAAGAGGAGAGCATTAAAAAGTTGTAGGTGTTTGGATTGGTAGAATATAATCATGCACTCTTTTAGTGAGAATATCTGTTGACAGTTAGCTCATCTAACACATTCAGGGCAGTAGAATGAATATATATATATATTCCTTTGCTTTTCTTTTTTTTACTATTTGAAATATTATGCATCTCCTTAAAACTTGTTTACTAGGTTGTTTGTAATGCAGCTATTTTATTGCTTTACAATGTTTTCAGTGTCTGTACATGGAATGTACCAAAACTTCTTTTGTATACTGTTATATCTTTGGACAAATGTCTGACATTAAAAATCTTGTTCTGTTTGAATTTGATGTTTGTTGTTTTGTGTTCATGGGATACTCACTTTTCTGTTTGATTACAGTTACTGGGAACTTTATGGATAAATCTTTAAATTAGAATTCAGGTTTTGTTATGAACCATTGCCGTCTGAGCAATCTTTTGCACGCTAATGTTCTGAAAAGAAGTAAAAGTGATTGCTTTTTACTACCCATTTTGACAAAGTATGCCAATTACAGGTACTTTTTTTTAATTGGCTTTTAAAAGCAAAAAAAAAAAAATTATAATAATAATAAAAGTGCAATCTATCCAAAGAAGGAAATGCTAATTAAAGAAACTAATTGGCTACTTCAAAGCTGATAGTGGATGATAAGTCCCAGAATTGTAAAAGATCGAAAAATATTGACTTCTGTGTTGAGGAATCCCCATGTCCATATTATTGATTAACTACCAGCACATCGCTGTCATGTATTCAACACATTCAACTACGTTCTGTGGAGGCATTTGTTGATTGATAATTCCCATGGCAAAACTTGTGATGATATACTTTTTTCATTTTCTTCTTTAAATATTTATAGGAATGTATATATATTGATATTATGCCACTGAGATGAAAAAAATGGTTTTTAGGTTCTTGGCACAGTGCCCATCCACTTATATCAAAGCATCATAAATAGTTATTTTCTTAGAAAATAATTCGGTATTGATTTAAATTCTTTATCATTGATAGACTTAAGTGGTATTTTAGTGAAGCAGTGTATTTGTATTGTTAGGGTGCCAAAATTATGGTAGTGACTCAATCTTTTAATTGGGGAAAATTATCAATTTTTCAGATACGTGATTTTAGAAACATTGAAATATGTTTCTGTTAAGCATTTATTGTGCTTTTTGTATATAGAATAGAATTGTAAGGTAGCCTGCTTTTAGGTTTAGTTGCTATCACACAAGCATAAGTGACTTGAAAAAATACAGTTTCTGTAAAATTCACAATATTTTCCACTGAAAAGATTGAGTATTTACCATATGTCTCTTTTCAAAGATGTCTTATTGTTTCCTTCAGTGAATAAGTGATTGATTTCTCAAGGAATCTGATCAAGACGGTTCCTTTCCAACATGTCTGACTCTGAAGAGGAATTTGCCAGTGCAGATGAAGGTGAAGAAGAAAGCACCAACTCCCAGCCTAAGAAATCCCAAACTGGTCAGTTAGGCAAGAAAGAAGAAAAGACTAAAGCAAAAGGTCCTGGTGTCCAATCGGTTGAAAGGAAAGAAAGTGCCAACCAATCAGGTTCAAGGACACAGCAATTGACAAAATCTACAGACCAGAAGCAGAAAGCAGAGTCGGCTGCAAAACAAACAGCAAATTCAAAGTCATCTGTTACTGAAAAAGATGACAAGGGTAGTGTAGGACAATCAAAGGCCAACCCTGGTCAACAGCAACCTACTGGAAAGGGCAAAAAAGTTCGAAAGGGAAAAGGTGCAAAGAAAGCAGCAGGAAAAACTGATGAAACTGACAGGAATCCTGAGCCAGTTGTGGTAGAGAAACCAGAAACAACCACAGAAAAGGAGACAGAAAAATCTGACACAGAACTTAAATCCACAACCATGGATGTGGAGTTGAAGGACAATGAAAGTGGAATGCCCCAAGAAACAACATCTCAGCCCTCAATTCCAGAACAGCCAACAGATACAGCAAAAGCAGAGGTTGCTAAACCAATGGCAGAACTTACTGCAGAACTTTCATGCACTGAACCCTCTGCATCAACGGCAGGAGGAGGTGTGCAGGATAAACAGACAGAGAAACCACATAGTATGAGCCCTCAAGATGGAGCTAAAAGTATATTTGACAAGTTGGCTGGGGCTACACATAAAGAAGAAAAGAATGGAGAAAAGGTAAATGCATGTTGAAAAAATGATGAGATTTACTTTTTGGTTTAAGCACAATTGGCATTAGGAATTCTTGTATTAATATACCAGATGAATAAAATTCAATAGTTCATTCAACTAGATTTAAAAGAGTAAAATAAGTAGGTGGTCATATGATTAGTTTCTTCAAGAAGCTGATATTGATTGCAATGATGAACATGAAAGTACTCATACAATTTTTTTTTTCAATTAAAAAAGACTTTATTCAGCTGAGCATCTTGCCAGTAATCTAAAGAGCAGAAAGTGTATGCCTTAAAATTATCCCATTCTTCATTAAAAACATTCTGTGGTATTAATGCTGGGCTCATACATGAGATATATTGATTGAAGGAGAAGCTAGGATCAATAGTGTACAACATGCAACTGAGGCATGGTAAAGCTGCCATTCTTTGTTTACAGTGCATGGTTTTCCCTATTAAGAGAAAATGAAAACAACTTCCAGTTGCTCTATCATTTATTGTTATAGCTATCTATGATTTTAAAAACTTTAACCAACTTTAATTAACTTAAATTTTAAGGCATACAAATGTTCTGCTTTGTAGATTACTGGCAGTATATTGTCTAATAAAAGCTGATGATTAAAAATATTTGACTTCAACCAACATGCATTTTAGCCATTAGCAGAAATTGCATTTTCTCACATCAAACTAGCATGTATTCCTATGCTGTTTATGTCTTAAAAATTTATGATAAAAATGCAGAGCATCTCTGTCAACAATTTCCCTGTTTTCTCCTATAAACTCGACAAATATGTTGTGTTTTCCCAGGGAGCAGGCAGCTGGGGGAGTTGGGGAGGATGGGGGACATCTTTGCTGTCCACAGCTTCCAAGTCAGTCTCTACATTCACCAGTCAAGTTGGTAAGAAACTATTGATTGTTTTTGTGTACAGCTTTAAGGGCAAGCTGTATGCTCATTGATTTTTATTGTAATAAAAAAAGTAGATTGACATATGAAATTTATTTTAAAAGAATATTTTTTAGGGAAAGCATCGTGATACATTTATAACTGTGCCTTACTTTGCACCCTCTTGAATTGTATAATTGAACTGCAGCAGCTATGATTGAAAGAACTAGGCGTTAATGTTATTTCAGACTCTGTAATAGCCATTATTCATCTATTAAGCTGAAAGGCTGTAATTGTTGAATATGGATGGGGCAAGATTGGATTTGTGTGGCGGTTTTGTCACTTCAATCTGTGAGTTTGCCATGATAGTTGTAACTTGATATTCTTCATTTGTGTATGAAAGATTTCAATATCTGTCATGTGCTACAAATGGCCAGTGGGGAGCTAGGGTACGCAATTCTTTGCAATATTCATTCCGTTTAATCGAAATCAGCAGCTCTTGGAAATAAAAGTTATTGACCCTAAGATTGACACCCATGCTATGACTAGGAGAGCTGTAAAGATTTTCCCAGGGAAAGATTCCTCTACAAATTTGGATGCAAAGCCAGCTGGCATTGATTTCCTTTGTAATACGAGATGTTTATATATATCCTTTGGCCTGCAGAAAATCTTTGCTTACCATTATTAGACTGTTCCCCATTTAATAACAATGGTATGTCAGACACTGTTAAATAATTTAGATCTATGTGCTGGTCATCATAATTCTAAGGGTGCTTTCCCAGAGATTTAGATCGATCTAAAGATTAAGTTTTAGATCGACCTAACTCCCTGGGGTTTCAGGCTAAATTGCAGTCAGCCGAGCAGACACCATAGTTAATAACCCCCTTACAGCTTTTAGTAGGCGGGACAGACGCTTAAGCCGGCCAAGCTGACAGTAATCTATTGAGACTCCCCACAGGGATAGATCGATCTAAAAATCTATGGAAATGGGGTGTAAGGTTCATCTTAAAATGGTATCAGTTTGTCACACTTGAACTTTTTTATTGATAACTGCTGAGTATATATTAACCTTACATGGCAAATTTATCTCACAGTGAGACTGGAAGTGGGTTCAATAAAATTACATTAGCAGGCCAGTTTCAGACATTCTCAAGTTATGAATAATTTGTTAGATAGTATCAGAAATGTTTAAGTTTCTTAAAGTGCAAACCCCACTTAAATCCCAACTCCAGGGAAATAAAATGAAAATAAATGCAGTTATATTGTATGCAATTTATGACAGTAAAGTGCTCACTCTTCATCAAGATTTTGTTAATGTGGCATTGGATTAAATAGAATGGTAGTTAATTATTATGGCAGGGACAGATCCAGGATTATTTGAAGGGAAGGGGTCCTTTTTTTTTTTTTTTTTTTTTTTTTTGAATGACAGGCCTCTTGGCATGGGGTTAGGGGACTGCTGAAGGGCACTGCTTCAGCAGACTGCTAAAGAGGAAAGTGCTGGTGTGATTTTTTTCAGATATTGAAGGGGGGGGGGGAGGATACAAGACCCCCCTGACACCCCCTAAACCTGCCACTGTTATGGTAATGACGATGATGACATTAATGATACTAGCACTTTATGGTGTGTGTTGGTGGGGTGCATACTTATGTACATGTGTGCACGTGTCTGTATTTCATGCGTTTGTTTCAGGTGAAGGTTTCAGCACTGTGTTAGAGACAGTAGAAGCTTCCCTTGGAGCCCCATCACCAGAAGAGCTTGCAAATATAGAGAAAGCTGAAGAAGCAGTGAAGGAGGGAGAAGGGGAGGAAGGAAACAAACAAAGTGCAGATGAAAGCAAACAGCCAGAAAATAAAGACCAGAGAGCAGCAGAAAAATCTACAGATGATAAAGGTAGTTAATGAAGATATATTCTTTTTATTTGTATAAAAATTATGTTATATGTCAGATGTTGCATGAATAAGTTACAGGGAATTTAATTTGTGACTTTGGTGGAAGTTCTTATTTTTTATCAGCCTTGGCAGATCAGTCTTCTGAGATACAGTAGTTTGTCATAATTATAAATACCAAGGTGAACAATTTATTGTTCAGTCTTAGAAAGGACTCTGTAGACTCTGCCTATAATGTTTCCCAAATGCAATTAATTTGATCATTTTGCAATTATACCAAAGCCAGACATTTCCTGATGTTTTTCATCTCTTTAGGAGGTTAATGGAAAGGCCTTGTTCAATATTCCATGCTCTTTTATTGATCATAGCTGAGAAGATGTTATCCAAATGAAAATGAAGTCAGAATTTTATTGTAAAGTCAGAAATTCTGGCCTTATCAGTTCGGAGATAAATTATATAATTTGTTTTATGTCTTGAAGATTAATTTAACATATTGTATTTTTGATATAATTATTTATTTACACTCTGTTTGTTTACATTGACGGTTTCCTCAGAACTTGCTTGAGACAATGACCTTTATTAATGACATAAGGCAACATTTTTATAGGCACAGAAGATACGGCAGAAAAGCCTGTCACTGAGAGTTCCCAAGAGGCACCACCAGAACAAGATGGTTCACCTTCTGAGGCTGAAGGTGGAGCAGGGGGGCTTGGAGGGTGGTTTTCCTCATTTGGGAAGGTTACCAAAAAGTTAGAAGATACAGTAAGTAAAAAGGAGGTTTGTTTACTAATACGTGAGAAAAGAAAATTGTGATGAAATGATGTATTTGTCTGCAATTGTGTGTTGTCAGGGGTCGATTTAGAGCGTCTTCTGGGTCTTCTGGAAGATGGTCAGATTTTCAAATTTACATTGATGGGTATCTAATTTTTTTCTGTCGGAAGACGGTCAAAAATGGAGGATGGATCAACAAAGATAATTTGGAAGAATGTCAGAAAATATCTATGGATCTGCCTATGGTTGTAGTTTAATATTACTATTCCTATAAAGTTATAATAGTAACACATGTAATTTGCTTGGGCTTTACAGTTATACAGTTTGAACTGATATTATTTTGATAATTTTTTATCATTGCCTTAAAATTTTGTTAACATTTTGTGGTTCTTTTTTATGAAAGGGCAAAAATATTATGACTGGTGGCTTAGATGTGCTGGAGAGCATTGGGAAGAAAACTATGGATGTTATTTCTGAGAAAGACCCAGGATTTGCCCATACAAAAGGATTATTCAAGGATAAAGGATCGAAACCTAATTTATCCCAGGTAGGAGACATGTGTGACTTTTTAATTGCATTTTACTTGGGGATGAGTGTTTATCATTATTATTATTATTATTATTATTTCAAATGCCTTGTGACAAGATTCCCTAAGCCATTGGAAAGTAATTTATTTCAGTTGAATGTCATATTGCTGGTCAACGTAATTTAAATATGCAATCACTCATTTGCCCATAGGAGAATTATATCAATTTTTAGTGTAAACTTTTGGAAAATGTGTGTGGTGGGGGGTGTTTTCCCAGTCAAATGACTAAATGTTTCTCAACTCCTCTGTTATTTATGTTTCAACATGTATGTTGCAGATGCTGAGAGAAGCTAAAGAAGAAGCTGAAGAAAAGGCCAAGATGGAAGAGGAGCATAAAGAGGCACAGAAAGCACACTTTGGAACATTGTTTGATGAACACCAAGGTATTTGGTCAAACTGTTTTTTAATGCTTTGGCTATCACGGTTGAATTTTGTTTTGTCATAATTCAGTATAAGAGATTTATTTTATATTCAGTCATAAGTGGAATTAAGTATATTCTCAGTGTAATGCCTTTTAATAATTGAAAAAATTCTCTGAAGGTCTAGCGAGGCTGGAAGCTCTAGAAATGTTGTCCAATCAGAGTGAGGCAAAGGTGCAAGGGACACTGGGAAGTCTGACAGAGGATCAACTGCAGAGCATCAAGCTGGAACTAGTGATGATAAAGGAGGCATTCCAGCTGGAGGATCTTGATGAGCCTGAAGGTTTGTCTGGCTTGCTGTATTGTCATGTGTTGTTTTAATTGTAAACATCGATTAGAAAAAGACATATTCATGCAGTGCATTAATACAAAAGTACACTATCACAGATAGAGGAAACAACTTTGTTTACAACATGTGGCAGTGAAATTGAAGGAAAACAAGAACAGGAAGATAAATATAATCCCCTCAAAGTCAACCATTAATTTATAGCAAATAATGCTGAAAGCTAATTTTAGCTCTGACAATATTTAGAAGACATGACGTTAAATGGTCTTGTTTTCAGATGATGAGATGGACCATAATTTTGCTAAGCTGATGACGGAGCACTTGCTTGTCGTACATGCAGGCACTACACCTGATAAACTTAATAAGGTAAGTACACCAGACTCTTTTATCTACATTAAAATTTCAGGCAGACTTGGTGCATGCATCAAACAGATGATTCATGATATTTTCACCTTGACAGACGGCTCATGGTGTTTTTGTGTTATGAACTAGCAATTGTGAATTAAAGCTGTGTAAGATGAAATGTAAAGGGTCCAGTAGCTGAACGTACCATAAATAATGCTATTTTCCCACTGTCACTAATATTCCTGTTTCTTATCTAATATATGTTAGTTTGTACATTTGTTTTTTGTTGCTGTGCACTGATAGCATTTTGCATTGAAGACAAAAGAAAATATGTTTGACCAATTTCACTTTGGTGATTTTTACCAACAAACAATTTCCAAGTCATTTATCCTCATAAAATATTTATTGATAATTGTAATAAACCCACATTTTAATCCTAAGGTTGAAAATAAATTAATGGTTACTAAAAGAAGAAAATGTGACTTTTGGAGAGCATGGTGTATGGATTCTTCTGAAAGCTTGGCGTTATCATGTAAATTGAATTTTGTTGTTCATCCTGTATGTTATATGGATATTTTATAATAACTATTTAAATGTTATTCGAATAGGGAGAACTCTTCATGGTAAGTTCCTATAAGTGTCACCTGCACGGGTTGAATATTGGTTTTCATAATTTGAAGTCTTGAATAGATTGATAAAAATTCTGGGTATAATATCTGAAATGGGTGAATCAAGGTGTAAGGATCTTTGGGGTATATTATGAATTTTTCAAATATTGTTAAGTGAAATTACATAATTTTTATTAATGTTGAGTGCATTATTGATGTTAAAGTGAGATTGATTTTATTGTGTCTTTTCTTATCCTGAGGTTGTGGATTATTGTTTTACTGTCTGAGATAATCTGATCTTTTATTTCCAATATTAAAATGTATTTAGGTTCACTTTAGATTGTGTGAGGGACAAGGATTAATGTTATGTGTTTAACTTATGAATTTTAAATCCCTGTAAATTTGAAATTTATACTAAGCTTATAATGTCAAAAAAGTTGTTTACAAATTCAAAAATATAATTTTCTGCTGATCATAATGGCTGTATCTTAATTCACCTCAAAAATAGATGAAAACTTAATTTTGAATATAATTTGTATGGTCATTGCTCTCTTATAATATAACATTCAGTCAAATGTGTTGGCTTTAATAGACAATATTCTGTCCATGTTGATTAAGCCTTCTTTATATTGATTTACAGTGTAGTCTGCTGGCTTAAATCCATACAAAATCATCTATTTTTTGTTCCATTTTAAATATTTTTAATATATATATCTACACATTTCATTTAGAATTGTACAGCAAATTATAAATGCAGTTAGCTTGTTATTATTTGATTGATTGATACCAAAAAATCTAACAAGAACTGCTAAAATGTGATTGAGTATAAAATTCATGCAGAGACTTTAAAAGTAGTTAGCTTTTGTTTTCATTATTCCACTGCCAAGTAATTTATTTTAATCCAGGTTCAGAGCAAAATAAGAGAATATTTAAAGGACTCCAAGGAAGAGCAAGAAAGTGGAAGCAAGCAAAATGCCAAGGTTGGTATGCAGATATTTCAGGACTTATATCATTGACAGAATTATGGTAAAAATCTTGAAGTACTTGAATGTGCTATTGAAGGGTGGATACCTCAACAGATAATTACAAATAATAAATACCATGTTTAAACATTATTTACAAAATGATCTTATTTTTCTTAAATACCTGGACCCTAATTTCTCATATGGAGAAATTATGGCATTTTGGCTGAAAAAAGTTCATTTTCATTTACAAGTTTTTCTGGACCATCAAACCAGCTTTCTGTACAATTTATGCAGCATTATTAATTTTTATTTATTTATTTTTCTTTGCAGGATTTGCATCGCAGTGCTATCCAGTCCCTAGCAGAGCTGACATCTGCTGCAGTAGGTCAGTTCCACAAGGCAGGAGAACTTTTACTTCTGCAACAAGATGATGGAGCCAACTTTGCAGACAGGGCCAGCAGTTTGGCAAAGTAAGTTGGAGGACAATTGTTTTTTTACTAAAAGTTACCTTTTTGTGAACTGTTTATCTGCTTGCCTTACTGTCTGTCAATAAAGCTTGTTTGAAGAAATATATATTTGAGTAATTTATAAAATCGGTTATGTATAATAAGCTAATTTTAGACTTATTTGTTTTATTTGATTGGAAATGATACTTATCCATCATTGCTTTAAAAAAGCTCTTATATAAAATTTCTTTCATTTTCAGTTTAACTCGAGTGCTGTGTACAGAAGTAGGAATCATCTCCAATAAGTTTACCCAGTGTATGAATGCAGTTGCTGTGAGTAGCAAACTGTTGCAGTAATCAGAAACACAGAGTCTTACATAAAACTTTGTTGATCATCAATTTTTGTTGTTTAATTAAATACGATTCATTAAAATTATTTATATGAAAAGACTGGTAATTTTTGATCATGTTTGATCTGTTTATGACCTAATGCAAACAGAATAATTTTATTGCTCTTGGACTTGTAATAAAGCTTTAAATTGTTGTCTTACAGTTTCATTTATGTTTTGAGTGTCAATCTGTACAACTTTCTTCTCAATCCAGGCTAACTCTGAAGATCCAGACTCAATCAACCCTTTGATTACCAATGTGTACTTGGAGGTTTGTTTTTCTTTTAAAATTGTTCCACTAAATTACAATATTATATTTTTTTTAATGAGAAAGCACTAGCTTGAGACTGTTTACCTTGGGGTAAATAAGTACACGTGAATAGTAGTAAGCTTAGAAGTGCAATTAATTAATCATAAGATTGCAAGTGAAGTTGGTTCAGACTGGCATTTCAACATAAACAGATTATAATAAGGGAAAACATATGCTCAATAATTGAAAAAAATTGATGATCAACAGAAGCTACCTTCTTAAAGATGTTTAAAGTAAGGTAAATGATTTTTTTTTTTTTTTTTTTGACTGTCATTTGTTTTATTTGCTATTTCAGGCTGGAAATAGTGCCACCTACATACAAGATGCCTTCCAACTTCTGCTTCCAGTGATGCAAATGGCTGCCCTTCAAAGTCATGCTAACAGAGATTAAAACATGTTTGAAAATAGCAACTTGTACACAAGTGAAAATTTGCAAACTTCATAAAAACTCATTCTCTAACATATTCCACCTCCTTAATGTGAAGCCATTTTAGTACTACTGGAGTCCACAGATACCAATTTTTGTGTACTAGATTTCTTGCTGTGCGTTTTCAACAAGATTCCGTTTGTGTAATTACGAGGAAAAAGTAGAATTATTAAGTTAACTTGGGATGGTTTGGGATCACCTCTGAGTGTAAATATAGGGCCAAGTGTATTGAAATTATGGTACTTATTACATAATAAATGTGAAATGATGTGAGACTTGTGATAGATGTACAACTAATATTCCAGTAGTACAAATTATGAAGCGATAAAAGCAGCACTAGATTTATTTGAAATGAAAAGATAGTGTATAGTGTTTTTTATTCATATATGATGAAATAGATATATGGTGCTAGTAGAATTGTATATTAACAAAAATTTTTAATGAAGTTGTAGTATATTTATTGGCCAATAAAGGTTTTAGTTCAGCAATTTTGGAGAATTGCCTTGTTACATTTTAGTTTGATACAAGTACATACAATATGACTTTACCATGATCAGAGATGAAAGTTGACTTTTTCATTAAATCTGAAGTTATGCAGTTTTGTTTGGGGGGTCCAGAGGGCATAAATACAACGCCCAAATATCTGGATTTGGGGAGACTCCTCTGTACAGGATACTTACAACACCAAGAAAACGGTTTACACCACACTAAAACTGAATATGAAGAAAATAATTACAAGGAGAAATCGAATCGAATGTAAGCAGTTTCCACAGCAGACGACATCCTTAAACCTCCCCATGTTCCCCAAATACTGCCACCATTTATACAATAAATTACATGTATGAGTATCCAAACAAATTTTTGCTATACAACTATATTTAGATAAGTTGGCAAAATATGTTTGTCTCAAAAGCAAATACGTATGCTATATTAACAAGCTGTGGTATTATACATATTTCACTGTATATGTTCTACTTCCCCTGAAAAACACTGGCTGCAATTATTTTCAATGAGATTAAAAATTATGAGATGAAATAATTTGACCTTTCTGCTGTCTTCTCTTGTTAATACAAGCAAATATATTAGAGGCTGATCAGCTTCATGTGTGTATTACACAAAGGAAAGTTGTCTATTAATAGACAATGGACATGTTATTCATCATACTGGCTGGTGACTTTATGTGCTCAAGAATGCTCATGTTCTTCCCGATTAGAAAAGTAATTGCAAAATATCTGAAAATGTTCCTGTGACCCCAGTTTATTATGGACAGGCAATAGCCTGAATACCAAGTACACAGTATTTATTATATAATGACAGACTGAAAAGAATGGTCAAAAGATGGATATAAGACCAAGCTAAATCCAGGTTCAATTTTTCTTCAATAAAGGACCCGAAGATATTCACAGACAGCATTAGTCAATACAATAATTATAGTTATTATACTAATATAAAGTCAATATAGAAATTGTAATGTTTTTGATTGTTATCGCATTCTCTTTTTGGTTCCTGCAGGGGGTTTCTGCAGCTGGAATGGTTTACTCTCAGCAGAACCCAAGCTGGCCCCAAACCCTAGGGTGGGGTTAGCAGCACCAAAAGTTGGTGCTGGGGTCCCTAGAGCTGAGGTGGAGGCAGAGAGATTGAAGGGGGTGGCGGTGGCCGTCTGCTGGGTTTGATTGGCACCAAATAAACTGCCAGAGGTACCTCCTGTGGTACTGCCGGCAAATGGAGTTCCAAACCCTGGAGAACAACAAGAGATGGTTTGCCATATCAGTGTTTTGTTATGTTGAATTCTTCAGCCTGTATACCAAGACCAGAAAAACCAATTTTCTAAAAAGACTATTGTACTTGAAAATGATTAATATATATATATATATATATATATATATATATATATATATATATATCAAACACTTTATAAATGCATTAAAGTGTTTAAAAAAAATTGAACAAAATCAAAAACAACCTTAAGTACATAGTAAGGTTCACTTTCACAAGATTCTTCCTGTATGGCAAACGTCTGTTTTAATCGAAGACAGTGTACTTTTTCTTTAGTGAAAGACAGTGTAACCAACACACACAAATGCATATCTAACATGACTGATACAATATACCATATGATATTGCATTTTTGCATGAGAAAAAAATGTTTCTTAAAAAAAATCAACATCTGACACATAAAACAATCTGCATAACCATTTAAGGCCAATTGCCAAACTTCAATTTCTGTTTACAAAATAACTTTTCCCATGCATAAATGATTCCTCTTTACACTACAGCAAACACAGATTACAAAAGCACTAACTGAAGAAGAACCAAACACTTCAATTTCTCACAGCCATGAATACCATTAGATACATGCTCAACTAAAACAGTGAGAAGACACTGTCAACATGTACTGGAATAAGGTGAATAAATACTAATTATGTGTTTGTGATATAAAAAACATCTATTCTATTTCAAAGATAGTCAATTCTGATATCTTGGCTGTGAAATTATAGTTAAGCACACTGAAATACTATAAACTGGTCTGTGCAATATAAAAATCATTTCATCTTTGAATTGTCAATGTGGAAGGAATAAATATCACACAAGACAAGACTTTGAACTGTTAATTATCGCATTAATCTAGAAAAAGCTTATTTATCAGATTAATGAACTGGCTATACTACAGTGTTCTAGCCAGGCTTTCAAGCTTTCAGTGCATTCTAAATCTATTCCAAGAACTCATGCCAAAAGCAGCTAGCCTCCCAAACTAAAAAGCACCATTTCCCAAAAACAGACCAGCCTACAGCAGAAGTGAAAAGGAGGGTATCAAGAGACAGGACAGACGTGCTTACCACAACTAACCTAATGGTTTGGCAGCGGCTCCAGTGGTGTTGCTGCCAAAGCCACCAAATGTGCTAGCTGTCCCACCAAATGTGCTAGCTGTGCCACCAAATGTGCCAGTTGTGCCACCACCAAACCCACTGCTTTGGGTGGTGGGGTTCACTGTTGTACCAAAACCTTGAGAAAATGATTCAATGTAAATTTGCTAAAAGCACTTATGGTTAAACAGATAAAAAATAGAAATTTGGCATAAATGTGTAACATAGCAAAAAACACAGCAAAATGTGCATATATTTTAGACAAACTCATGGGTTAGCTTAGTATTATATTGTCAATAAAATCAATAATAAATATTTCTTTTTTTAACAAACTATACTATCAAAATATTCACAAGCTGGTATGCATGTAGAATCTACTGAAATTTTACCACCCATGGTTAGGCTTGGTTAATAACTAAAACAAAATTTGAAAACAACTTCATACCTAAGCCTGTGCCTAATGTTCCAGTCTGTGTAGTACCCAGTGTAGAGCTAAGGCCGACTGTGGGTGGGGCACCTGTAAGTAATATGCACTCTTTTTATAATAGAGCTTAGAGAAGAATCAAAGAGAAAAAACAGAGCAGTTCTACTCATCAGAATCCCTGAAGTGTAAATTTGTGAATACTTTACTTTAAAAACTTTTAAATATGACACATGCTTAAGATAACTTTTTAAAATTTACAAATAAATTTACTTTTTGCTACCCTGCTTTTTACTACACTGGAGAGTTATCAGCAACATTTAAACTATTTCCCCTACCAGATGGTTGTTGCCCTCGGTTTAATGCAGTTGCCATGGCAACAGCTGCCACATTTGACATCCCAGTAAAAGGCGTTGGCCCAACAGACACCATGGACCTTTGGCTTATGCCCATTTTTTCTGATGCTTTTTTTCTTTTTTCAAAAATATCTGCACTGTCTCCTTGAAATATTCTTCGATAATTCAAATACTGTTCTTTTTGTGCCTGTAAAAGAGCAAGCAAAAAGATCGCTATTGGCTGCTGATGTACTGTCAGCTTCAGTGACATTACATTCATACAAATAGGTTTTTACTTCCTCAACTACTAATGTCAATTTGACCAAGTTCTTGGATGAGGACTACAGCAAATAAGAAGCGGAACCTTTTTGCCAAAGATTTAAAACAATAAAAATGTATACTTATCATAACTATAATAAACTATTAAACATATATTTTACATACAATGCCTTTTACAATCATATAATAATATATTATACTGAATGTCTTTTCAATTAAAACAAGTTGCTGATTTAAGCTAGAAAAATCCATTAGTACAAAATCTCACTTCAAGAGTTTTAACTGCAGGCTAAGGAATCACCCTCATGGAAACTAAATGGAAATAATCTCAATTTGCTCCAAGTCAACTGTTACAACAGATACAACTGATATCATATTGTTACCTTCACAGATTCGTGAACACCTTGTAACTGTGCAGCCAGAGCCACAAATGTCTCATGTAACCTTCTCAGACATACAGAAAGTTCTGAAATAGAAATAACTGGGATAATTACAGATATATGTCACTTTAAATACAGAAACCCCTTCCTAATAGAAAATTTGATGTGCATCAGAAAACACATCAATATTGTTCTGAACCACACCACTATAGCTCTTGCACATTTCCAACCATCACATTGTACATTCAAACTTCTATGCCTGCTTACCATTCACTTTGTAGTACCATAGTACATTATTATTTGGTTACACTGACTACCCCAGAGTGAGCCCTGACTTAAGAAAATTAACTGCCCTAAACAATGAGCCTAATTTCGGTTTCTGCCATAAATGAAATTTTTGAATACTTTACCTTGCGGTGTGAAAATATTGGGCTGACTTAAAGCTGTCAGAGCATTCTCCATTTCCTCTATTTGTTGTCTGTATATCAACATTCTACCCTCAAATTCTTCAACCAAATGATGAAAGCATCTGCAAAACAAAAAAGTCATATTATTTTAGATGCAACAAAATAATATTTTATCATTCCTAACATTCTAAGAGGTGTTGAGTTTTAGAAATGTTTTATAATTCTTTGCAGGTGTGACCTAAAATGATCATTGCTTACTCTGATGGAGCAGTGTTTTCATACTGTAGCCCTGGTGGGATTTCCTTCGTTCTCTGTGCCATCTCAGCTTTTTTAAGTTCCTGTGAAGAAAGTGTATTTTTAATACTTTGTACTCAATATACTGATCATGGCAATACTATCCCATCTTTAAAACAGCACAATCCTTTCCTTAAAACATGTGTTGTAAATTATGACTGCTTGAAAGCCTTTTTTGTGAACAAAAAGGCTGTAAACCATAATGCAAATGTAAACTAAATAATTTGTGTAATCTTTACACTGATCCAAGCTGTTCATTCTGTACTGGGACTGCCATAGTAGCAGATCTATCTACAAACAACTATATACACATTTTAATCAAAACTTTATACTTATATACATATAAAACAACTTAAAACATACAGCACATCTACATTTCAATGACACAGACCTGTGCAGACTCCATTTTTAATTTTTCAATAGTGACTGCGTTCCTCTGTAAGCCATTGGCCACCACTGCCAATAACTGCCTCAATGTCTGGACGTCTTCCTGAACCTTGAACAGAGGCTTGGAGGACATCCGGGCAATCTCCTCCCTCACTGATTTTTCATCTTTGACATATTTTCTGGACAGATAACATGGTATTAAGTATGTGGGATTTACTTAATGTATTTCATCCTAAAGCTTCTAAATAAACAGATTTAATACACTTACTCTATTTCTTCAGAATGGGATAAATATAAGGCTTAAACCTAGAAGTTTTAATAAAATGTTAAAGAAAAAAACAATTCAAAACTTTGCTAGTTTAATTCCTTACAAATATTTATGGTTTTTAAAAGTTGTTTAATTTATCTAAGTCTTTAGTCAAGTTCATTGTAGGGCAGTGGATATAAATCTACTTCTACAGAACTCACTTGAATGTTTCCACACTTTGCACAACATCATTTGGTAAGTTTGTTTCTTTGAAGGCCTTATTGTCACTGAAGATAAAAGAAACATTGGAAATTGAAACCCTATTCAAGATGGAACAGCATGACCAAATGATGGGAACAAAAATATAACAGCTGAAAAGTATGTGCAGCTAAGAATCAAGACTAAAAATACTGAACGTAAATTTTTAACTTCTAGCAATTACAATGTCACATTTACAATCCAGTCAACCTGGGTTGGCCTTCCTGATTACGATTAACTCACAGTTACTCTAATCTATCAATTTAGTTGACATAATTCACGTGTCGTAAGATTGGCTTACAATGCTAAGGTGAGCCATGAAACTTTTAAGTGGTTTGTCCCTAACTAGTTCAACCGATAACAATTTTAAACAAACAANTTTTATGAATATTCATCAGCTCTGTAAATATAAAGCCAAAAAGTAAAACTGCCCTCCACTTATCGTGTTTACAAGGAAAGTGCACGGCGCCGGCATCACCATCGGCATCGCCATCGCCATCGGCGACGGCGACGACAGACGCAGGTGATGGCAATATGTACAGACACATCTGTGTCTGTACATAAAAAACAAGTGACATTCAGCAGTGGGGTGCTATGCCCTTCCATATAATCTTTACCCTCCTTTCCCGTTGGCACCAACATTCCCTCCAGCTGTAGAAGTCTTGGGGTCCACACCACCTAATCCCTTGCTGGCAGTGGTGGTAGTTGTGGCCCCAAACAAACTGGCTCCTGTGGTGGATGTAGTGGCACCAAACAACCCTGTGCTGGTGCTGGTAGTTGTGCTGGTTGTAGTTGTGCCTATAAAAATGAATCACATGAACAAAGACGTTGGTTTTAAAGAATTATATATATATATTATAAGACAAGGCAGTTAAATGATTAATATCTGGCTACAACATTGCTGTCAGAGAAATGATGTATGTAAACTGCTGATTATAAAGAATTATACATATAATAGGAAAAGGTAAATTGAATAAAATATTAACATATCATGCTAGAAAATTGCTGTCAAATGAATTATGTGAGTAAATTAATATAGTACTGCTGCATTTTTTCAGTACAACTTGGAAAGAAAAACTAACAAAGAAAGGCAATCTGACCTCCTAAAAACTTTCTGAATTGTCATAATCAGGGTCATCATGTCATCCGCTTTTTTATGTCTGTTCATATTTCAATGGTTTTTACCTGTTAAATTGAAGCCCAGACTTGCACCACCCAGTGACAGGCCAGATTTTGCAGCAGCTGTCTGGCCAAAGCTAAAGCCAGTGGACAGCGATGGTTTGGTAGTGGACGTCTGACCAAAGGACAGACTTTGGCCAAAGCTTGGTGTTGCAGCTGCTGTACCTGAAAAAATTAAATGAACAATGAACTTTTTTCACTGCCCAACTAATACAATAGTCTTGTTACATCAAGTCCTTAAATCCACCACCTGTTTTTTTTTATATACTTAACAAATTTTTCTAGCAGTGCAGGTGTTAAAAATATTACACAAATAATAAGCAGCATGAAAAAATAAGGTGGTCTGACTGGCTGGAAATAAATAATATCTCCACACAGAGTTTTCAGAAGCATGCCATACCAAATCCAAAGACTTATTACATACCTAGTGATAGGCCTCCTGCAGTAGTGGTAGTTGTAGTAGTGCCACCTAATGTCAGGGTTGGTGTTGTCTTGGCAAGATTCAGAGGAAGGGTAAAGCCAGTGCTGCCTCCTGGTGGCACAACAGCTGCTGTAGCTGTAGCTGTAGCTGTGCTGGCAGCTGGGGTACCAAAACTAAATCCTGCATTTAGAATACGAAAACATTTCATGACACAGGACCTATCTGTAAATTATTGAGATGAAGAAGTGATACAGCCCTCCGAATTAAATTTAGTTTGAACCAGGCCAGTGCCTAATTAATCAATGATAAACTGGTAATAAAATATCCAAATATTTCTTTTACTTTCAAATATTCTTTTGACTCAGAGCAAGAAAGTCTGTATGCTAGCACTATATAGCATGAGGTCAAAATTTTTTTCACTGATCATTTTTAAAGCAACTTCATAAAGCTTAGAGTAACACGAGTAACATATTCAGTTTGCTGATAGTGACATCACTTACCACCACTAGCAGTTGTCTTAGCTACCCCTAGTCCAGCACCAAATGAGAGGCCACCTAAAGTGAATTTAAAATAGTTTTTATCAAATACTTAATTAAGATATCAAATTACTCCTTCAAAATGATACAGCAATACTATACATGTTACTGAACATTTTTTCTGCCTTAACTTCTATCCATATTGGCCAGAATCATAGATACCAGAAACGGTTCACAGCTGCAATGTAATGGCCATTTGGTTTTTATATGGGAATTTTACCCTTTTTAAATGACATGAAGAATTTGCAGGATCTGTACATAATGATTTCCATGGCCTGTTAATAAGTTGTTATGTGCTGTACCATGAAACATTAATGCAAAACCCAACTCACGCTTACACATTGTTTGCAAGTTATTTTTGAAACGTGTCTGCATTATTTTTTACAAAATAACTTCTGCCCAAAAATTGGTTTATACCTTAAGGCCAAAAGCCTGGACTGCCCCAATTCAAGATAAACAAATTTGAAGCTTTCAATTTATTGATACAACCTAACAAATGAGCACAACTTATTTGTCATCAGGTGGGTTGCCTTGTTGGAGTGTGGTTCCTCTTGGCAATCATACTGGCCATATCATTCTAGTGCATTGGCCAGTGCTGGGCATTATAATCTGACCCCAAGCCCCTGGGCCCTTTGGGCCAGAACAAGTTCCTACATGTGACATCTCATTCAAAACACCATTCAATGGGTAAATGTATAGGAACACATCACTTAGACTCCGTTCACATGAAAAATCTATTTCTAAAAATCTATTTTCTATTCGCGGTATCTTGTGATCACTCCGAGCGCAGCCTAGAATTAATTACAGCTTAGGAAGCAACTGGCTCGTGCTGCCAGTAATTACGCCGCGGGGTATTCAGGGCACAGACCGCGATCACAAGATACCTCAAATAGAAAATGGATTTTTAGAAAATAGATTTTTCATGTAAATGAAGCCTTATTTTCAAAGGGAGAGTGGGTATGGGGATGCAAAAATTGAATTTATAAATTGTCAATAATTTACCAGATGTTCCTACAGGGGTGGCCTGGGTCTGACCCAGCTGAAACCTGCAAAGAGAATAGAACATTTCGGAATTAGAAATTAGTACATCAAGCCCTTTGTGGCCTTATATAGATATGTTGCATTAAGTACTAATGCATGTTATTTATCATATCTAGTTGAGAGACTCTTAATCATTTTGTATGTCATATTCTGTTTAACAGTGATCACAAAATTTTTACATGCTTAATAAATAACAAACAAAAACAACATTATGGCAGTTCATTTAAGTCTCTACAATAAAGACAACAGATTTCAGACTGATCAGTATATCTTTGGTCGGGCGAAACTTACTGAGCAAAAATTTTTACGACGCATTTGGAAATCCCCTTCTTATTACCATTAGATTCTACGTCGAAGACAAGTTGAAATTACAGTACAGTTTCTGTTATTTATCATCTCTTACAATATATTCAGAAATAGTTAAAATAAAGATTAAGCCATGTTTTGTGAATTAAATTACGTTACCCTGTTGATCCAGCTTGTGTATTGGGAGTAGCACCAAATGAAAATCCAGGCATGTTGTCCGGGTGCTTGAAAATGGCAGACTTTGTATACTCTCATTCCAACGAGAAGTCTTGTTTTAGGCAAATATTGTAACTTTTATTGGCACAAAATTAATTTATCCTGTAAACTTAGGTATTTTATGCATTTCTACTTAGCTTTAGACCTTAAAGACACAATAATAAGAAAATTTGTTGAAAATTCGCTGGTTCTGAGAAACGAGATCTTGGAAAAGACATAGGTCAAGGCCATCCAAGAGGTTCCCGGATGGGAGGTGGATTTGCAGAAGACAATTTCGGCGATACCGAATCTCTCTGATATGGAGTTCATCAAGACTCCCAAGGTGAGTTATAAATATCTGTAAGATAATATTTCGCGATATCACATCGTTGTTTTCACCTCCCCATTTATTCTTTTCGTAAGTGAGAAAATGTGTCGGCATTTAATCTCGTGACAGTTCACTCAAATCATGAATGACCAAACTTCAACTTAATTTATTGAATGACACTGTCATAGCTTCGAGCACATTCTTCAAGAAGAAAATATCGTCATTCAGTGATAAGTCTCCATGAGATTAATGCCGTTATATGAGCCTTACTTTTTCATTTTTAAACTGACATTTTATTTTATTAATTTATTTATTATTAATTATTTATCTGCTCGGATCCAGAGGTTAGACTGAAGAAATAATTAAGTTTACTTGTTGCCAGTGTAACTGACTTACTGACTGATTTTTTTACCGATGTTTTACAAATAGTAATCACTTAATTTGAAACAAAATATTAGGGGTACAGCTGTGCTTATTTGTATTACAATGACAGTCTGTCAGTGTCCATTCCACCTTTATTAAATTCAGATAAATAAATTCGTGAGATTATTTACTCTAGTGAGAGTAGTTTTTGTCAATTTCAGATCCCTATACTATAGTGTCTATAATGTAATCAATATTTATTCTCTTTTTTGTGTGTTTGTGTGTTCACAGTATGACATTAAATCAGAAATAATTTAATAAGAGTAAACCTTGCTATTTCTCTTGTTGTGGTTGCCATCATGACGTGCCACAGATAAAGCCCAACAGGCCCACATTTTGATCAAGTGTCCTGCATTATGTAATGATTTCTGAGAATTTCCTGGTGTCAACCTGAATTATACATTATGAAAAGGGGTGTTTACCTGCACTGTCTTAAGCCCCCTACCTTTGTCAAACCAGTATAGTACTTAGAAGCTTCATTTGAGTGCTCCAATCCAGAACAAATTTATATTTAGGATTTAAACTCATATGACAGGTTAGTTTCCAAATATTGGTAGCTATGCACACAATTTATAATATAAAGTCAAAGCTTTCTGCACCAAGTTATTATTATTATCATTATTATTTTTAAAATTTTATTTATTTATTATAATTATTATTTTTTATTTATTTATTTATTTATTTTTTTTTTTTTTTGCAACAAACAGTGCAGATGATAGTAAACGAAAAATTAAAAATATGTCATCTTCTGCTTGTTGATTTCGAGCACTCACTGTACTTAGTAAATGTATCTTACCTATGTTAGTAGCTTTTTTTAATTTCTTTGATTGCATATTTTTCAGTACTATGTTGCAGTTAAAAGGAAAAAGAAAAAGTTACAGCCGAGAATTGGCCGTAGAGTGTGTATATTATTTTTGTTTTTTAACCTTATCACACCTGTAAAGATTCCATGAAAAATGAAATCTCAACTCAAGATGGCACGTTACAGAACGTGCCAAGTTATTCACAATGCCTGATCCTTTTTCCTCTTTCTTTTACCAAATACAAGGCTCTTTTTTTAACCTAAAAGACCTTATGGATGGGCAAATTATAAAATCCCTTTAAAAATAGTATTCTTAAATTGAAATGTGGGTTTCTGTAAACCAATTTTGAAAATCAAAGATTGACGTACCTATCATCAAGTACCAGTTATTCCCCATGGCTTATCAAAGGAACTCTGCACGTGCTTTAAAATCCCCCATGGTTGCATTTCTATCCTGGAAAACATTTTATGGTTTTCCATTCAGACCTAAAAGTCATTTAGAAATAAATTAATCAATTATAACAAATGGAATAAAACATCAAACCTTGCTGCAGGGAGAGGCCGCGCAATAATTCCATGAATATGAGGAAAATTCCCTTTACCCCAAGAAAATTAATTTTAGCAGGTAAATCCTTTGGAGAGTTCCTTTAATGGATTCCTTGGCAACACTGCTCTATCCCATAAAGCCATGACCTTAAACCCAAAGCTTTTTTTTTTTAATTTTTCTTTTCATTTTGATTATTATTTTGAACAGTCAGTCCGCATAGTATATTGTTTAGAAAAAAAAATTGAAAGATGGACATGAATGTTATGATGTATGTAATGCTACATGCAAGCAAAAAATATATATCATGGTTCAAACATCTTAAGAACTCCATTAATAATATTTTCTGTCATTTTGTATTGCTTTTTCAATTTTATGCTTTCAGAAAAAAAAAGAAAAGTTTTATTAGTTTCATTGGTTTTCTTAGACAACTCTTCATGTATTTGTCATCATTTATGCTGCTTTTTTAAGTCTGTCATTGTAAAATGCCAGACGCAGCTGGGTGCCTATGTGACATATCCTCATTCCCAGGTTGATAAATTACCTGATGAATTGAAATTCTTTTTAGCACTGCTGGGACATTGTATATTATTTGGTATGTAGAAAAGGAAAATTACAAAGATTTATTATCAGCACAGTTTTTGTCGATACTGTTGGTCTGGTGGGCCTTATGCTGATTCATTAATAGTTGTGCCTGAGTATTTTTTTCATGTGAGAAGCATCAGTTGTGCACGTGGGCTCATGGCCATAATTCGTGATTCACAAACTTTAGTGGTTGTATAGATTGATAATCTGACAGTCCAGAATAGTATGATTTCATTTGCTGTAGTCGACTAATTTATATACATCTTTGGGTGAAGGAATATTTTGTCATTAAAAGATGAAATGAACTTGCAAAAAATATAATGTTCATCTTTATGTCAGTTAGCCAAAATATAATGTGCTAGTATGCAGCAAGAGTCGTCTTTTTTACTTATTACCAGACAGAAGCATACTTGACAATAAAATTTCTTCACCCAGAACTTTCATGATAAACCATTGCTTGAATGGGATATATGTGGCCACATGTTAATGTTATCCCAGAGTTTTTGTTTTTAATTACTGCTCTAAGTTGGTCTTAAATGTCTTCTGAGGATTCAGTTCAAATTAATAAATTGTAATTACTGCTCTAAGTTAGTCTTAAATGTCTTCTGAGGATTCAGTTCAAATTAATAAACTGATGGTGAGTCAGTCACTGTGTAGAGGGTAGGATGGAAAATATGGTTTAGAGGAGAGTTATAACTTGTCTATGTATATGAATGCTATGGTTTAATCAGCAAGAAATAATGATACATTATAGCTGCTGCTCACTGTATTTTGGAATTGTATTTTTGACTTAAAAGTAACATCAGATTCATGCTATTGTTTAATATCATTATCATCATCTTAATCTAAGTGTGGGGTGTATGAGCACGGAGAGCTATCCTGTATTATAACTGTGAAGAAGACTGGAAAGATTGATTTAGGAGATTTCATCAATACTTTGGTTGACAGTATGTGGGTCTTTTTCAAATTCAATGAGAGCCTCAGTGTGTACATAGTAAATTATGGTGTTTGCTGTAAAAAAGGAAAATGAGTTAGCTAGACTGGTTGATTGCAATTCCAAAGATAGCCTGAACAAATCTGCTATAGTATTAATACGTAAGAGCAATTGATATGTGGAGGGGTCAGGCAGATAACATTATCTGCTGAGATTTGATTGGTAACATAATCATAGCATTTTGTGCTTTGTATAGCTGATTGTAGGTTTTTTTTTTCCTGAGAACTCCAATTCTTTGAATTTATATGTATACTTGTTTATTATGCATTGTGTATAGATAATATTATACATTTCTTAATTTCATAGCTTTGATACCACATGGCTTACATACTGCTTTGTGCATTTCCTTTTTTTAACTTTAATTTCTTTTTTTTTTTTTTTGCATGTTAGACCCCATTCCCAGAGATTAGATCGATCCAAACTAGATCGACCTAACTCCCTGGGGGTTCACGCTAAATAGCTGTCAGCCGAGCGGGCACGAAAGTTAATTACCCCCTTACAGCTTGTAGTAGGCGGGACGGTCATTAAAGCCGGATTATCTGACAGTAATCTAGTGAGACTCCCCACGTGGATAGATCGATCTAAAATCTGTGGGAATACACCCTTAGAAGTCCCCAATCTTTGATACTTTGGTGTCATTTGTGACTTGTTGGATTGTCTGTTACAGATCATTTTTATGGCCAAGTACAGACTGTGGGAATTTATAACCTTGTCATCTCATTAATAACTTATTGTTTCAGGCAAAGTTTCTGGAAGCATGGAATTCAGGCATTAAAGAGGGAAAGGTATTAAAGCACTTTCATTAAGATCCTTCATTTCTCTTTTTCAGTGTTAGTAAATTTTAGTTGTGGTTTGCTTGCACTTGTATTTAATATGTTCATAAAATAAGGTCTCATTCCTTTATTTTCCTAATAGCCCAACAATTGTGATTTTTATGTAAATTAAAATTCTTTATTTATTTGCAAATTCTGTTATATTTGTCCTTTTGTATCTTTCTCTATCTGAAAAAGATTAGTAGAATAATGAAATCCTTCACTCAATTTTTATTTTGTTTTAAATAGTTTCATTAAATTTCCTTCTAGCGTGTTAGATGTGAATGTACCTTTAATGAACTTCAGATTGCTGTTAAGCTCACCATTACATTGACATGGTGTCAATACTTGAACCATGTGCTCAGTTCTCTCCAATAAATCTTACTAGAAAAGCCAATCCAGCTGTACTCTAATACTAGTCATTAGTAAAATGACATCATATTCCATGCAACTGTATAATCCAAGGCTAAATTGTTTTGTGGCGTAATAAATTGAGAGGACAAGAGGATTGTTGTCATATTGATTATTTTCTAAAGGGCAGGGAAGGTATACTTATAGGGTATTGAACCACATGTGCTTTGA